AAAACTGCAGTGTAAAAATTAATAAAATTAAAAAATTAACAACTACAAAGGCACAATGATTTTGTAATAATAGGACAGAGAGAGAAATGTAAAAGATTCGAGGCTTGGAAAAAAAATACACCCAATGCGGTCGAATGTGATCACACATGGTATGAGGGCGAGTATCGAAAAGTTGTTCATATCAGACGCTTTTATAGAACCTATAGCAGGAATGCGGCTGTAACATTTTGATTGAGGTTTGCAAGACCTCAACAATAAACCATTATTTGTAATTACAGCATTTATCACAGCTCATACAGACTACCAAAAAACCTGGAATTGAAGCCATAGGCTTCTTTTTCTTGCGAACTTTAGATGGGCTTCTTTTCGAGATGTGCTTCATTTCGAGATGAGCTTCTTTTCGAGATCTGCTTCATTTCGAGATGGGCTTCTTTTCGAGGCTACTTTTGTAAAGTAAAGAGGGGGCTTCTTTTCAAAATGAGTACTGTAAATTTTGCGAATTTGTACTATAAAACAATAAATACGGCTACTGTAACATCAATCTGTATCATGGAGTGTATTTAACTGACATTAAATCATCTAAACGTCTGTATAAACCAAGCTTGTTTTTAATTTATTTTGTTTTTTTGAAATTCATGTACAGTGTAGGCCTATATACTGTACTATTTCAAAAAGAAGCTTATGCTATCATGAAAAGAAGCCCATGGACTTCTTTTCAAGATGGGCTTCTTTTTTAGGCTAATTTTGCAAACTAAAAAGGGGGCTTCAATTCGAGGTGGGCTTCCTCTCGAGGTTAAGTCCACTGGGCTTCAATTCGAGGTGTTACGGTATTTAGTAAACCACCGAGAATATAATATGAAAAATAGTTTTTCAAGTGGTCCGTTGTCAAACGAGAATAAAAACAAATAGGCTAGTATGTTTGAGCTGCATTCTCTATCTTTCTATTTCTATATCTTTACGATTTTTTATAATCAATTTGCATAAAACGTTTCTTAGCATCGTTGAAACCATTCTTATATATTATTTGATGTTCATAAACGTTCATTCATGCATGCATCTGTTAACCAGGAAACTGTATAAAATACATACATATGCTCTATACTAACCCTAATTATACATTAGATTTATAACTAAAATAATAACTCGTTAACGTCTATCAAAAGTGAAACGGTTATCTAAACAACTGACTGCGACATATTAAATTAGGGTGTCATAATCATTGAGGACTTATCTATGTACAACAGTTGGTTCTAAGACCTTAAAAAATATGCGACGATTTAGTAAGTTCTTATTATTTCTCATCTGGAAATATTCATGTCTAGACGTTGTGGAAACAAAGTGCCCGTAAGTAAGTATTGGTTTACGTGTAATCAGAATCTTAAATTTAATATTATTACTACACTTAATGATAGGGTGTGATAATTTTTGTATAGGCCTAATTAGATTATCTTAGTGAGGTCTGCGTAATAAGGGCATCATTCTGAAAAATGTCGATGGATATTCTTCTTAGCAGATTTGTGTGTGTACATGATGATAGTAACTGCTATCTGATTTATACGGAAAGTGGTAAATGGTACTACAAGAATGCGGAAAATTCTCCCAAAGAAATCGGTATGAAATATAATATTTTGTATTTCCTTGAAGAAAGATTTTGATGATGATGGTATTCAGCTATAGCTAAGAACTAATACTGAAACTCATATAACAATCATAAGTGAATGGTATCATAGTCAAAACCAACACAAACTATTTACAGATTAGGCCTTATTATAATGTGCATTATATTTATGAACCCATATTGTATACATCACATATCACTGCAAAAACTTTGATGTTACTAATTGCAAGAAAAATTTATAAATAATAAGAATAATATTATATTTGCGTAGTTAATTTTGTTTATCCTTTTAAATAAGCTATTCAATGTTTTAATTTTCATATAGGCCTATATATATATATATATACATATACATATATATATACATACATATTTATAATATATATAATATATAGGCCTATAATATATATATTATATATATATATACAATAAGAATTCAGACATTATATAACATACCTAAAAGTACATACATATTAATAAGGGTGTATTTATGTATAACATACTTAAATACATCCTTATTTTCTTCCTATCTGGTTTAAAGACGTGCACTTTTCGTCGGCATTGTGCTACAAATTCATCCGAGGATCATCAAGACAGCAATCGGCTTATAACGCTCAAATTGAATGCAAACAACAAGGAGGAAACATTGCAGTAATAAAAAATGACCAGCAGTACAATCAGTTGGTAGAGAGTGTTCTTCAGACATTGCCTGTATATCAAGAAAGTTATTTCAACGTACACCTAGGGGAAATAAACGTAGGGACGTGTGCTAAAGTTTCAATAGAAGACGGGGCACTAAACTTGTTTAATTCTGAAAAACTTGAAAAGAGCGACTGCAACAAAAATCAGTCTATTAACTCTCTTATGTGCGAGGCTACTACAGGTACGTGTGAAATAGTCAACAAAATACGATATGCATTAAATTGGTTTTGTTTAAATAATAAAACCGTAAAAATCAACAGTAATTAAATAGGTACACTCCCTTTCACTGTGATTTACTATGTAAAGGGGAAATAAGACAGTACAAAGATAACAGGTAGAGCCTATAGGTACTGTAACTTAGATAACATCCTTATTTTAATATATACAAATATTTCTATACAGACAAATAAAATGATAAAATCACAGCCACGGGCGCCGCAGATCATGGGAACGGGGGGACACGTCCCCCGATATATTTTTAAGGTTGGTTGGTTATCCCCCACTCCCTACCTTTTGGTGGCAATCTGCTTTCATAAGTCAAAAAGATGCCTGGAAATGAACTGCATAAAATACTGACCCAGCTGGTTTGAACGAAAGAGCCCTGTACAGCCAGGGTACATCTTCTTATAACAACATACCGGTATCTCTCCCCACAAATATCAAAAATGACCTATACACGACTTGAGTGCTCGTGCCTTTATAATAATCTTAGAAGATGAGAAAAAAAAAACGTGTAAAGATAAGATTTGTTTTTCGGCACACGAAGTAGGTAAAGTAAAGTAAATACATCAAATATTGTACATAAATAATATATTGTACATAAATATATATATTATACATAAATATTTATATTGAATTTTATGAATCCTGTAATTGGCGTTTTACGCAGTTGGATGGAATGAAATAAAATAAATAAAATAAAAAAATAAAGACAATTAGGCCTAAATTTTATTTTCTATGGTGCGTCACAGGGATTAAATAGATCTCTATGATTGCCGAAAATCCCTAATAAAAGACTTATATTATGAGAAATTTGTTGGCACTTCTTTTTGACTATAATAATGGTGATGTGATGGTGATGAATTTCACTATAAGAGTGTCATTTCTGACCATCTAGAGGTACTATTTACCTAAATTTTCGCGCCTCAGCCCCAATCATGGTGAGGCTGAGATGGGTGTGGATTCACGACTTTAAGTAAGTTCAGCAAAATAAATGCATAAAAGACAATGCTTTATAGTTTTATTTTCTATGGTGCATCATACAGATTATGAGATCGCTATGACTGCCGAAAGTTCTAGATAAAAGATCGTGAGAAATTTGTTAGCGCTTCATTTTGAATAAAATGGTAATGTGATATTAGAACATTATGATGTAGGCCTGCACGCAAAGGCGATCATCAGGCACCATCAGCCATATATTTACGTATATATAAAATGAAAACATACCGTATTGCTTACAAATGCTAATATTTGATTATTTTAAGACCTAAATTGGTTTAACACAGGAGATATATGATTTCCCATCATATTTTTCTCAACATACTTCTGAGCATCTGCAGAACTTGCCTAAAGACCCCAATGATCGCAGTCAAAGATCAGCCAGTTTCTTATCATTCTTTTGATGTGTTTGACGTCATAATTTTAATATATACTAATCGAATGTGACTAGACTGCCAGAGATGTATAAGATACGCTCTCTTCTGTGCATTACTTTTTTAAGTTTGCTGGATCTCGAATGGCGAGGCTACTTGTATGTATAATGTGATTTTAAAGGCATATGTTATATGAAAAAAGTGTATCTAATGGTATTCGAACCTTCAACCTCTCGATATCAACCATCATACCATTAGATTACAGAGACGGTATAGGCACAGACCCAATAATGGCACTTTCTCTCATGCTTTCGCTTAACAATAGTCAGCCAAAAAAACTTATGCCTCAGCTTGGTTCAGCTGCAGCCTAGCTTTTATATATACCGGTATATATCCTTTAATGCTTATATTTGTTTTTCTCCTCCATCATATTATTCTATTATGCTAGATTTAACCGATACATTACGTCCTACACCAAAAATGAATTTATTGCCAACTACAAGTAAAACAACTGCAGACAGTATTACAAACTTTTATGTTGAACCAATGGAAGAAGATCAAGTAAAGACACCACGCCTATATATTTTAATACCACTTCTCATATTAGTGTTTCTAATTGCCGTGTCAAGTTTGTTCATCTGTTGTCAAAGAGGAATGCGGAAAAGGTATATTAAACATTTCCTTAACCTAAGTCAAAAGGGGACAGAAACATAGCAGTATTATTATTGCATAGGCCCCTAAATATCCGTATGATGATCTTTACAATTCTACAGTATAGAACCCCTATTACGGGGACTCTTTCGGGACCAACAAATTCTGAATAAAGTAAAAACTTAGCTTGCATATGACAGTATGAAACCAAATATGGCCGCAATGATGTCAATCGGCCGGTCCGGCAGGCAAGGAGTTAAGTAATATCCGCTAAACAAAGTTTAGCCTTTTCAAATTACTTTCTCCTTTTAATTTCCGTTGTGTGGTTTTAATTTCTTCATCCTAAATGGTATTTAAATAGAAGATTGACACCGTTTTATTATTATTATTATTATTATTATTATTATTATTATTATTATTATTATTATTATTATTATTATTATTATTATTATTTATTATTATTATTATTACTATTATTATTATTATTATTATTATTATTATTATTATTATTATTATTATTATTATTTATCTATTTATTTTAGACGTTGCAGTCGTCACAACGATCAGCTAGCCTTATCAGGAGTCTCGGATGAAAATATCAAAAGAAGTTAGTTTAATTAAATTATTCTCATTCGTTTTATGTTTTACTAACCGCCGTTGTTGTCTTTAATTGTTGACAGGAGATTATAAATAAAAATCTATAGGCCTTAATGAACATTCTGTAACATGGATGCAGTCCTACTGAAAGCCGGGCACTGACTGGGTCGTACGGCGGCCGTACGACCGTCGCATGCGAATCCAACTCCGCTCCCCGTGAGCGCTAGACGACACGACGCCGTTTGCTGATTGTCGGTGTTGTCTGAACGACGGATCGTCATTAAAAGCGATCAGTTGCACGCCTGTCGTCGCATTGCTTTCTTCATAGAATCTGTTTGCATAAATAATTATTCCGTCTTCCACAGATGATGTTGGCGACGCAGTGCAATCAAATGTAGAAAATCTTCTTGGAAGTCACAATGCTGTGGATATGCAAAGAAGTGGAGACGAAGTAGAAAATGAGTACTACACCTCGCCAACTGCTGGAAATGACATCCAAGTCCAGCACAACCCTATATACAATGTGTTCGATATTGCATGCACATCTGAAGATACTGAAAGAGGCATCTATGAAGCTGTCTCTTATACACATCTAGATGTGTATAAGAGACAGATATATATACATATACATATATATA